GATGAAATGATTTCCACATTTCAAACACACATTCAATCCATGGATTCACAAGAATTTGATTTCAATTTCTTCTATAAATACTTATTAATGAAAACCTATTCAACAAACAATACAAACAATTCATCAAAAGATTTGAGTTCAACGGATTGGACGGTCAACCCAAATATACCTGAAATACAAGTGAATGAGAGGCCGACCCTTAATACTGGACAAACGCAACCAGAAAAGGATTTAACTCAAACAGCGCCTACACATGTCGCACACATACCTAAGCTAACCGATGAAATTGAGGCCTTATTTAGATGATGTGATGAGTCCCAAACACAAAACACCCAAACATCCGGTGCTGTCGATATGGACCCTACAGGCCAAAAACAACCAGAAAAATATTTAACTCAATTAGCGCCTACACTGATATCAAACATACCTGAGCTAACAGTCGACGAAATCGAGTCCTTTTTTACAGTCCCTGATGAGTGCCTGACCCAAAACACCCAAACATCGGGTGTTGACTATATGGACCCCAAAGTTCAACAATTGACTATAGTTTCAGACCATAGAAAGCGTGTATTCGAGAGTGGGTATGAGTTGCAAAATGGACAGCCTACTAAAACACAGAAGCTATCTTACATTAGTAACTGATTGGAATGTGGTACACAAATTATTACACATGGACTATGCAACATAGTTTTATTTGTTACGTAAACTATCTACATGTACAATTTTGATAAGCTAATTTTTGAAAGTTTTTAATGTGAAATGACTCTACAGTACTTCATGTAATTAACAAACATTTCCTGGATTTTGACATAAAATTTGTATTAATTAACTTCATTAGACAACCACAAGGGGGCTACCTGGGTCCCATAAATAGCTAAATTTTGCCTATTTCATCAAGTACAGTAGTTTTCTTATTTGAAAATTAACATTACATAAAACACATTTAATTTTATATAAATATAATGTGTATCAGTGTATTTGTTTGACAGTGGAAAACGACCGTTGGAATTCAAACTTAAAAATCTCACACAAAAAATTGTTGAGCATAAAAACTGGTATGACTATAAAATTCAAAAATTATGAGTATTGGTCAACAATGGTCAGTAGTGAACTGAATTAACTTAATTATACACTGAATTATGCAGAATTAAGTTAATTCAGTGTACAATTGAGTTAATTCAGTTCACAATTAAGTTAATTCAGTTCACTACTGACCATTGTTGACCAATACTCATAATTTTTGAATTTTAGTCATACCAGTTTTTATGCTCAACAATTTTTTTTGTGAGATTTTTAAGTTTGAATTCCAACAGTCGTTTTCCACTGTCAAACCAATATACTGATGTGTATGCACTTTTAATAGTTAAACACAATATGATTTATAAATATATTTGGTTAATGTGAATTAGCTAGTTAATATTTTAATTATAATTTTACAACAATTATTTAGATAATGTTAGGTTATTAACCGTATGTTTTATCACAGGGTATTTTAATGAGTCATTAATAATGACTATATATAAATTTATAAAATAATTTCATATAATATTGCAACTTGATTAAGATTCAAAAAATCTAATTTTATCTTGAACCAATCTATTTATTTTTATTGTTATTTGTACTGGATCATAACTTACAATTAAAAATTTAATATAAACATTTAGTTTATGAATTGGTTTATATATTATAAAATTTATACAATATTGAAATTATTATATGTAAGCCGATTTATTAATTAAGGGACATTTATGAAACATTGAAAACTTAGTAATCGAGTCTAAATTCAAAGCTTTAAATTCAAAACTTACGCTTATAGTTTAAAAACAAGGTTGCTTACATCTTACAGTATAAATATATTTATTTATGACTACAGTATGCTGTATGTGAATAATATGAAAACATTTTTTATTAATTAATTTTTTGTTTGTTATTAACTTTACATTTTGAAACATTTTTAAATTTTTTGGTACAATATTTATCATAATTTATAAATGTAGGGCATGTTAATTCTTTACTATTATCAGTGGTACAGAATTGCCTAATATTGTTATTTAAATACATTTGCCTTTCATATGATAATCCAGGAGGTATTAGTACATTAGGCATTTGATTATTAGGGAAATAATTGTTTTGATAATCATTTTTAACAAAATTAAAACTTATATAATTTGTATCACAATATTACTTAACATAAACATTATTTACAAAATTATTACTAAATAAAGTAATGGAATTTAGTAATATTAAGAATTTTAGTAAAAAGCCTTTGCAAAAATGTTGACTATTCATAAAAAGGTACCACAATTTTGTTAGTTTGTGGGTCACGGGTAAGGATTGAATTATTGTTTACACACGACCTATTAATGTCTTTTACATTCATAATAGTTTCACAATTGCTTTTAGGTCTTGGGTCATTTGACCTACGGGACAATTGACCTACGGGACATTTGACCTACAGTTTTACCTACGATTTCAGGGGGTCATTTGACCTACGGGACATTTGACCTACAAGTGATTACCTACAAAATATTGATATTGTGATAACTTTTGAACCATAATAGATAGATGGGTGTTGTAATGGAATGATTTGATGGATTGAAAGTGAGGGTATGAATTA